AAAACGGATCATGTTTTGCTCGTTTTTGGGCCCCCTCCCCGAGTACTCTACAAGCTTCCTAAGGGCTATTCATGCCCTTTTTAAAAAATAAATGGGCCTGTTTTCACAAAAAATGGGCCGTTTTGGGGAGGTTTGCAGAGTGCAAAAACTTTTTTTAAAAAATTTTCCTCTTCAAAACCTTGCTGCGTCTTATACTCCGGTGCATCTTATACTCTGAAAAAGATGGCATTTCCCAGCTCCATGGTGCTTCATGCCTCTGTCCTCTTCCTCCCTTCCCCTTTTCTGCAGAAACAATCCCCCGAGTGGAAGCCGGAGATCCGCCTCCCGTCAGGCAGCGACCACGTCATGCTCAAGTCTCTGGACTGGAACGCCGAGTACGAAGTCACCGTCATCGCGGAGAACCAACAAGGGAAATCCAAGCCGGCACGCTACGCTTTCAGGACCTCAGCCCAGCCCACCATCATCCCAGGTAGCCCCTCATTTTCTGCCCCCCTTCCTTTTCCGCTTGAACTTTTAATGCACTGGCATCACATCCTTTAATGCGCTTCCGTTTAAAAACCACCAAGACAAAAGCAACGGAAACTCCCCGGCCGCACGCTTGCTTTCCGTCATCCTCATAACTGGTAATCCATCTTAGAACGTAGCTCTTCGGCCTCGTACATACCCCAAGGGCCCCGTCTGCGGTATGTATGCTCCATCGATGGTCGGTTTCCCCCTAGCAACTCTTGAGGCAGTTGACTTTGTTCCGCATGGCTTTTGAGTGAGGTTCTTCCAAGCAAGGAGGCACAGAAGCAAGTGGGGAAACCCACCAGTTTAGGTCACTGGTTTTCCTCCACTTGTCGCTTCCAGGGCCCATGACGAAACCCCGTCAGGTTTTGCTTCCAAGAACCCCTTGGCGTTCTCAGCTAAGACTTCCAACTGCTTGGCTACAAAGAGCTGAACACCAGGATGCAAATTAAGCATGCACTGATATTTAGTTCCTCTGTATCATTGGTTTCGCTTGGGGTGGGCAACCACTAAAAATGCTGCAGGTTTTACCCTTCTCTGCCCCCCACTCTGGAGTCCCCCCTCCCAGCCCTAATTCTGAAATAATTGACGGGGGTGGAGGAAGATCTTATAGAACAGATGGTGATCTCTAAAGCTTCCTTCCTCCTTTTTCCCCCTTTGCTTTCCTTTCTTTTCCCTCCTTCTCCTTTCTTTCTTTCTTTTCCTTTCCTTTCTTTTCCTTTGTTCTCCTTTCCTCCCCTTTCCCCTTTTCTTTCTCCTCCTTTCCTTTCCTCCTTCTCTTCATTCTTTCCTTTCTTTTCCTTTCCTTCCCTCCTTCTCCCTTCCTTCTTTTTTTCCTTTTCCCTCCTTTCCTTTCCTCCCCTTTCCTTTCCCCCCCTCCTTCTCCTTTCCTTCTTTTCTTTCCTTTCCCCTCCCTTCCTTTCCTTCCCTCCTTTTTCTTTCCTTCCTTCCTTTCTTTTCCTTTGCTCTCCTTTCCCCCCTTTCCCCTTTCCTTTCTCCTCCTTTCCTTTCCTCCTTCTCTTCATTCTTTCCTTTCTTTTCCTCTCCTTTCCCTTCCTTCTTTCTTTTCCTTTTCCCTCCTTTCCTTTCCTCCCCTTTCCTTTCCCTCCCTCCTTCTCCTTTCCTTCCTTCCTTTCTTTTCCTTTCTTTCCCCTCCCTCCTTCCTTCTCCTTTCCTTCTTTTCTTTCCTCTCCTTTCATTTCTCTCCCTCCTTCTCCTTTCCTTCCTTCCTTTCTTTTCCTTTCTTTTCCCTCCTTCCTTCTCCTTTCCTTCTTTCCATTCTTTTCCTTCCCTTCCCTTCCTCTCCTTCTCTTTTCCTTCCTCTCTTTCCTTCTCTCCCTCTCTGTCTTTCCATACAATATAGGCCACAATGGGTCTTTGATATAATTTGTCAGCCAGAGATTTATATTTCACTTGAAGGGAGAATTTCATTATAGCCGCGTCCAGTAACATTCTAAAACAACTGACACTTCATACCGCCACATCAGCAATTCTAATGCCTTCCCCCACAACCCTCACCTTGGTTTCTCCAAAAGACAAATTGTGCAGCTCCATTTGAAATAAATTTCATTGGGGAGTGGAAAGGAAGATTGGCTCCAGGTATATTTTTAACACGATTCCGTTGGCAAAAATATATATATATGAATCTACAACATCTTATCTTGTCCTGTCCTCTGGTCTTCATCTTGTTTTCCCCTTCAGCCCCCTGAAAAATCTCCGGTTTCTATGAGATTCGTCCTGGTGGGTTGAAATTTGGCACGAAGGCCTCACGTTTCATTTTCTAAGTGCTGAGAGAGAAATGTACGTGGCAAATTCCGAAGTAGGCTAACTCTGAACGTTGACCTTCTGGTTGGAAGGTCCTTCTGAAATGTTGACCTTCGGCATTTGCTTAGCAAGACCTCCCCCAACTCAGTAAACATGGCCAAAAATGTCAAGTGGTGAGGAAGGCAGGAGGCTTACAACTTCTAGTTCAGTGTTTCTCAACCTTGGCAACTTGAAGATGCCTGGACTTCAACTCCCAGAATTCCCCAGCCTGCGAATGCT